GAGCTGAGGTATTTGGACTGACAGAGTGAAATGAGTATCTCAGACCAACTGGCAAGGTGAGATCAGAATCCATTGGAGGGAAGCTGATTAAGGATTATCCCATGAGGGTAAGGATAAGGAAGTGTCATGTTACCATGACCTTTTGTCCAATTGTGTTAGAAAGCAAATCATATCATTTCACAGATGCTATCACATATTATTCTGCCTTGCTTTTTCTCCCCAAACAACCTGTTTTTACTCTAACAACCACCATGTCAGACTACACAGAGAAGCCATTGAAATCCACAAATATGTGGACAATTTCAACAGGAAGGAGGAAACCATGAAAATGAACTAAATCTGACTCCCAGTATTAAAAAAAAACTCTAAAATCAGGACAACAAATAAAGAGGAACACTCAAACAACAAAGGAATTCCTGACATGAAACAATCAAGGCCAGCTAACACCTCCCAACGAAGAGTTTCCCCAGGCAGGAATCAGCCAGTCTTTGAAGCTGCAAGGCCATTCAGTACTAATCAAGGAGGCCAATTGCAACATTCACACTTTCCTTAAACAAACAAGAGTTCTTCCTCCCACCCTTGACATTCTACAGATATATAAACCTCGCTTGCCAAGTTTCCAACAGACTTCATAACCTTTGAGAATGCCTGCCATAGATGTGGGTGAAATGTCAGGAGAGAATGCTTCTGAAACATGGCCATATAGCCTGGAAAACTCACAGCAATCTAGTGATTCTGTCCATGAAAGCCTTCAACAACTCAATACTTTTTTAGATTTATTACATGAGTGCAGTTCCCGCTCTATTCCCAAGAAGGCAGGAGACACCGTTCTGACCCAGTTTCTCTCCATGGGCTCTCCCTTCCAATCCCTCCACTCCCAAGGAGACATCATTCTAATCTCATTTCTCTCCATAGGCTCTTCTGCTCTTCCAATGAATTCATTTTTATAGATGGCTAACTCTAGTTTTCAAAAATGGAAAGAAAAGCAAGACAAAAACACAATTTTGAAACATTAGAAACACTTCTTCTTCTTCTTCTTCTTCTTCTTCTTCTTCTTCTTCTTCTTCTTCTTCTTCTTCTTCTTCTTCTTCTTCTGTTTATTTATATCCTGCTTTTTCTCTCCACAAGGAGATTTAATAAGTGGAAGCACACAGCAATCTACTGCAGTTGGGCACTTTTGACTGAATATATTAAATTTTAAAAAATCAGTGTAAGGATCAGACAGGTTATCGCTGCTTTGTAAGAGACTTGCCCTTATCTATTCTTCCCTCATGTAACCTTTAACATCATATCTTTCTTTCTACCCAGAGTTCTACTCACATTTTATTTTCTCCTTGCTGCCCGTCCCAGATTTATCCCCTATTCTCAACCCTGTGGCAGGAGCTCCCAGTGGCACAGTGGGTTAAACCCTTTTGCTGGCAGGACTGAAGACCGATAGGGAGAGGGTGGATGAGCTCCCTCTGTCAGCTCCGGCTCCCAATGTGAGAAAGCCTCCTACAAGGATGGTAAAACATCAAAACATCCAGGTGTCCCCTGGGCAACGCCCTTGCAGACGGCCAATTCTCTTACATCAGAAGCAACTTGCAGTTTCTCAAGTTGCACTTACATGGAAAAAAACCCTATGACACTCAATAAGAAGCCCTTATTTTGTGTCTCTACAGATCAAGTTCTTACCAATGTCCTCTGAAGCACCAAAGGGTGTGAAATTGGGTGTCTAGTGTTGCTTGCTTTTCAGCCCAAGGACAGTCCCTGCATCTGCTGCAGGGAAGCCTAGTACTATTAGCATTCTGGTCATTTGATCATTACAATATTCAAACAGAATTTATCATCATTTGCTTATGGAGTCAGATCCTCACACTCGGAACCTCTCATTATCATCTTTAGAAATGAAAGCTTGCCACAGCAATTATCAATATGGGCAATGTGACCTCATTTAAATCAACCAACCAGTTCTGTTTTTTAAAATTCTTTGTCAGTTCCTAGTTACTCAGTTATGCAGGGAAGAGTGATTAACTGTTCAACCAATGATTTGCCTTGTTTCATCAACACAAAAGCACCAAAATTCTATTATTGCCCAACCATGAAGCCAATATTTTAAAAGCTTCCTACGATATACCCGGAGTCCCCAAATCCACTCACCAGTTTCTTCACCAAGAGGGCAGCTACCACCATCAGCACCAGGGCAGATTACTACCTAGCTAGAACCACAGCAATTGCTGAAGTGGGACAAAACTGTGTGCTTCTTAATTTTCACATTTAAGTTCCCACTCCACCCCATAAGGCAACCCTGCTTAGCTAGCCTTTTCTGTCTTGAGGTCTTCATTCTATGGGGTGCTAAGCAACCTTGGCTCCAACAGTTCATTGAGCATTTAGGACAAACGGGCACTTCACAATAGCCTTGGCAGCCATTCAGACTTGTGCTTCCGCATTAAGTGTTAGATACTTCCAAAAAGTTAAACAAAACCAGCAAGAAAGAGGAAGGGGGGGGGGGAGTTGTGTGTAAAAGTCAACTAGGCTCAGAAACATTGTTGTGGCTTTGCTAAATTCTCCCTTTTTTATTATAATTGGATCTTCTGTTTACACTTGCTTCTGATGTTCTGCTTAACGGTGTCTCTTTCAACTTCTGTTAATGTTTTAGCATTAGTTTTTCAGATTTTGTATGTTTTATACAGTGGGGATTTTTGTTTTTTGTTTTAACTTAACAGCATCACAATGGATTGAGTGTTGTTGTATAGTTTGAGCAACACTTCAAGAGTCAGTTTGACAGCGGATGTGACTTACAAGTGTTTGAAATAAATAAATAAATTGGTTGTTCTAAAAATATACAGACGGCCAGCCTTTTCGGAGGCAGACAATTAAAAGAATCTGTGTATGATTTTTGTGAGGCTTTCTTTGCTGCTACACTCTCCTAGTGAAGAGTTTCTACTGCTTCTGATTAAAAAGTCTCTTAAGCTGCAGAAAAAAAGATTATTCAACACTGAAGGACTGGTTCAAGGTGGAGCTTAAATAGATGATGTATTGAATTGTGCAGGGGCGGGGGGGGGGGGGGGTAAAAGAAGAGGCTTTTCTTGTTTCCGGATTAATTTGATGAGAGTTGGAAGACAAGAAACTAAGATCTACTGTATAAACTAAAAAATTAAGTTAAAAATGACCTACCCCCTATCCCCACCCTTACCCCTCAAGAAAGCAAAAAGACTGGGTCCATTTATCCACAGGTCAATGTAAGTTCTCTCCCTTAACTCTTTTGAAAAAGTAACCATCTGTGATTGCAGTGGTGAAAGGTGAGAGTTTAATCTGTTTTGGGAGAAGCTAAAAGAAGCCCATATTCCCTCTGTTGTGGTGCCACTTCTATCCTTTTTGAGTCCTTGTGAAGGAAAATGATGGCAACTAAGAGTGACTAGACCTCTGAGATGGTGCTAGACCTTTCCATGCTCTGTGGATTGACCCATGATTTATCCAGGGTTAAATCAAAATCCATAATGTTGATTCCAAAACCTGCTCTCAACTTATGAATGAAATCAGCTGATACATGAGTATATACAGTAGGTCTACACAGCCAGATCCAAGAGTTTAGCTGGAGGAAAAAGAGACAAGAATGAAGACATTCCCTCTCCAAATGAAATTTTGCTTCAGTACACAACACAATAATAATAATAATAATAATAATAATAATAATAATAATAATTCCATAATAATATTTTCAGTGACTCACCCTTTGCAAAACTAGAAATGTGAATGCTTAAGCAAAGATTCACTTGGGGAGCAGCCTTCTTATTGAGGGGAATCCCCCCCCCCCAATTCTCCAGAGAAACAACATTTCTCAGATAAATGATATGTAACATGGGGTATTAAATTATCAGCGGGATGTTTCAGAACAAGTGCCCAGAAGTTCTCTAAATGTGAAGGCCATGGCAGTATGAAACAGGAATTTTTTCTGACTTACTGATTCTTTCCCTTCATCATTTTTGTCATTCATTCATTCATTCATTTATTCAATAATTGAATCAATCATTTATTGTGTTTATGTATTGCCTCTTGCCTTCTAGGTCCCCAAGGCAATGTACAAAAACTGTGAACATTGAGTGCATAGATTAAAACTTTGTAAAAGAAACTAAACTTATAATTCTGAATTTGTTTACACTGGAGGTCATTAAGCTGCTGTTATCCCAACAATTATGTTCTCCCACGGCAACATGCATCAGCAGTAAGACAAAATGCCAGCTCGATGGTCACAACCATGATCACAACCAACATAAGTACAGGAGGGGAAAGTGTACAAAAAAAGCTCCTTCTCAGGAAACTATTGGTTCCTTATCACACTAAAGTTTCCTTGATCAAAGTCCTGTTCAGGATCATTGTAAAGCAAGGCTCTTTATTTTGAGAAAGGTTTTTACTTTTATACTTTATTTATAGGACTTTTCCTTCCTCTTTCTGTGAGAAAGTCCATTTCTTCTCTCTTAAATGATTTTCTTCTCAGATTACACCAGGGGATTCAAGATGACATTACCTGGCAGCAGCTGTAGTGTCCTTGATTTCTCAACCTAGTTATTTAAATATTTTCTTGAACTCCACAGTTCTGGAGTTTCTATGATTCTTGAATTCCTTTTCTTGATCTTTCTAGACACTATACTATTGCTTAAAACTGAATTGTCTGTTTAGCTGCTGCATCATGCTCTGGACTCATATTCAACTTGTGATCTAGTCCAATTCACTGCATTCTTTTCATTCTAGGTGTCACTCATCCTACATCTGTGCCTTTCTCCCTGTTGAAATTCATGTTGATAGTTTGGCCCAGCTTTCTAACCTCTTAAGGCCATGTTGAATTTTGATCCTGTCCTGTGCGGTGTTAGAGGCACCATCTAATATATCTGTAAATTTGATATGTTGCCCTTATTACATCATCAAAGACATGTATAAAAGTGTTGACTACAATTCACAGAACACACTAACTCATGGGACTCCTGTGTTAAATGGTGATATTAAAAATATATCTTTCTTACCCTGTTTGGTACTGGACTGATGAGAACACAAGAAGAAGAAATCATGTCTACTCAGTGATCTTCCCTTTGGGTAGTTTCCAAATAAGCTTTTCATTCATTCCAAGTGCTGGAACTTCTTGACACAAAGGTTCTGTCCAACTCATCCCATCTGTATTCTGATGATCTGCTGCCTTCCATCCTACCCTGTTCTTCCCTTCTGACAGGCCTTTTGAGTGTGTTGTTGCCATTCTCCTTGCCCCAAACAGTCACAATGGGTGAAGTGTTTCGCTTTGCTTCTTTTAATACTGTGCATGCAACTCACATTCTTCCAAAACAGAGAACTCGGCTTTCTAGTCAGGAAATAAATGTAAGGAAACACTCTCACAGTGAGGAAAGCCACAACAATTTGCCCTCATTTGATGATGAAACATCTTGTCCCTATCTGACTTTTTTTTCATTCATGTGTCATTTCAATATTTCTGAATGCATGATGAAAATAACCACAAGATTTTTAGTTTTTCTACTGGAACATTGTGCATGTTTTTCAAGATGATATTTAGGGAAAATGATCAGAAATGTAAAAGAAATGTAGCAGACTACAACTCTAGAGACCAGAGACACCTACTTTAGCAACAGCTATGTGCTGAACACACAGTGTAGCTGCATCTCACCAGACTAGAAATGTAGTTTTTTTTAAAAAAAAAATCTAATATCTATGATTACTCCAAAAACTTTTTGGAGGGCCTCGGATCACAGGATGCTTCGGGACCAATGGCAACTTCTCTTATCAGGAGCCACTGTAGTCCTTGCCGCCTTGAATCCCCCTGTTGGGGTAGAGAAGTGTGGGGTACAAGTATGGCAATTAATAATAATAAATAATAATAATAGTGGTGGTTTGTATATTGGTTTAGAACTCTGGGACACCAGGGTATGAAATGTGGCCCCCAAGTTAGAAAGTTTGCCCATGCCTGATCTAGAGAGTCAGTGGGATGAATCTGTCGCCCTCCATGGCAACACTTCCCCCATTACACATGGGAAGCATTGTCCTTGTGGTGAGGATCTATGCTGGCTCCATGTTGGGAGGGAAGCTCTGTAGATGCTTCCACTCCACTGGTGTATGGGGCCTCTGCCAGAAATCCAGTGATGTTATGGGATGGTCTCAACCATCATAACCATCATAACCGCTTCCCTTATCCTGTATGATGAAGCCCATAGTTTCAAAATTCCATAAAACGTTTTCTTCCTTCATTTAACACTAGACAGCTCAAAGACTGTTCGAAATTTGAATCTGTTTTGATATTTAAAATACACAGACCAACTCCTTTCATGATTCCATGTTTAAAGAAAAGGTCTGTTCTCTTTGATTCTTGTTCCTTGTGCTGTGTATTTGTTCTATTCTCCATAGAGAGTGAGTGCTGTTATGTCTATCGTCAGAGCTACAGGTGATATGGTTTAATTGGGGAGGAAATATTTCTTGAATACATGAGGGAGTTCAATAATAATTATCATACCCAAACATAATGAAGACTGATCGTGCCTATGCTACAACATCAAGTAAGTTTTATTATGACCCCTGGGATCAGATCCTGAGATAAGGATGGTGTAGAAGGGGTCTGAGAGATCCTTTGCACACTACTTTATGCTCAATAGTTGTTTGGCACATTTAGTCTGTCTCCTCAGCAAAACTATATTTGGCATTGGAAACCTTACTAGTAGCGTTGCTATCTAGGGCCTCTTCCATACAGCTGAATAAAATCCCATATTATCTGCTTTGAACTGGAATATGTGGCAGTGTGGACTCAGATAACTCAGTTCAAAGCAGATATTGTGGGATTTTCTGCCTTGATATTGTGGCTTATATGGCTGTGTGAAAGGCCCCTAAGAGTGTGCAATCCCACCACTGCAGAACAGTGGAAATGTCCCTGATATTATAAATTTAACAAACAGCTGGTACTTCCATTTGATATGAGTGGAAGAATCAGTTGAGGAAATACCTCTTCTAAAACACCCAGTTTGAATCTGTTAGTCTAGAAACATCAGATGAAGCATGTCACTTAATGAGAATAACAATAATGAGTTTAAGAGAGTAGATTAAGTACAATCAAGAAATACAGAAGTATTGATTGGGTTTACATGACTGAGCTTCACATAATCACATTGATACACTAGTTGAGCTGATAAATATCTGGCCAATGCAAAATATGTATTAGTTGTAATCTACATTTATATTAAGACTGGAGAGCTCTTAGTTGTTCCCACATCAGATTGGGTACAATTGTTGGCTCTTGATTGACACAACCTGTATTCAAATCCCTGCTTTAATACTGTACACACTATTTTGGATATCAAATCCCAATGAGTTAAGAGACTTAACTCCTTAGTAGATATACTTATTGCACTACATTGCAATAAGAGGAAGGATATATTGTGCCTCAAGGAAAGATAGCAATGCAAATAAATAACAAAGTCCAAAATTATAAAAGTTACAATGTCTTACAGTCCACTACATTACTGTTGAGCAAATAAAAGTTAACATGTTTCTAAATCTGCTAGTCAGATGGCTGCTTCACACCTAATTCATGTCTTGGAATACAATCATGTTATTATGCCAAGCAAAGATTCCTTTTATTCTTCAAAGACAAACATAATGAAATGAGTGAATAGATCCTTATCAAAAAGCCACTAACTGAGATATGTATATAAAGAATTAGCAATAACAACAGGTACAAGAAAAGTCAGTCTAAACTGGCCTTGAGATGGTTTTATTATTGTTAAGAAACTCTTGAAGAATGTTTGAGGAAACAAAACTTTCTTGGCCTTCTGTATAGATACAATTGACCTTTGAGAAGTTAATGTATTACAGCCACAGCACTTCACAGTCTGCACAGTTTATTACAGGTTAACAGTTTAAACATGTGAGTGGAATTCATGCCTTCAACAATTAAAATTTAACTTTCTACTGTAGCATATAAAAGAGTTGAGGAACTAGGGACCTCATCACATGGATGAGGTCCAGTGTCATGATTTGCCAGCCTCTGTGGCCTGGGCCGCCAACTGATGCTTCCCCATGGGGCTCCTTCCACACAGTTGACTAAAATCTCACATTTTCTGCTTTGAACTGGAATATATGGCAGTGTGGACTCAGATAATCCAGTTCAAAGAAGATATTCTGTGTTATGTATCTGTGTGGAAGGGCCTTGGGGAAGCATCGTCACTCTGCCAAAACCCCGTTGTTCCTTATGGAACATGAAATGGCTTATGTGTTGGTGGTGGCAGTGTCCCACCACACTGCTACCTCAGTCCACCCATGGAGCCGCATTAGAAGTCACCCTATGTTGTTTGATAGGTGGCATGTGGCTCCATGGTCAAACTGGGCAGAAGCGTCCTAGGATGCTTCAATTGCCCCATGTGATAAGGCTGTAGCCCTGATCCAAAGATTTCACCAGGAGCATGGTGGTAGATGTTAGCTGGATCACTGTCTATCAATGTGCCCTCTGATGCTACAAAAATGAAATGGGATGCAACTTACTTCAGCATTAGGACACATAGCTAAAGTGAGGAATGCCAAATTTGCAGTCCAGCTATTCCCCGAGGAGCACATTTTTCCCATTCCTTACTCTAGAACAATTTCACGTCAGGTATTCTCCCTGAATGAGACCCAAAGTGGTATTTGGAGCACAATTTCCATTATCTCTGACTAGTGGCCTTACTGAGTTGGTAAGAGATGGGGGGATAGCAGGGTAATACGTTGAAATATCTGGAGGACCAAATAGCCTGCTTCCCATTCCTCACATTTTCTTGAGCACCTTCAAAAATCTCCAAATATACTCTCTTATTTCTTCAACCTTCCCTGTACTGTAATATTAATGAACACTCAAACTAGAATATGACATCATAGATAGACACAAAAATACCAACATTTCAGCTTCATAAATTTATTTTCTTTCACATGACTCTGATTTTTAGACAACCAACAGTCCCTTTAGATGATTATTGGATGTGATTCTTGTGGTGGAAGCAATCCATGTATAAATGATTTCTTAAGGTTCCCAGGTGGCAACATTTATTTAGTTGGTAAGCCAAGCAGACAACTCACATCATGAACTAAAAGCAGCTTGCACAACAATTTAAAGGATGGCCCATAGAAAACCCAATAATAATTAAATGTTAAAAGATATTTCAATATACTGTTATATTATAACATGAAGACATTAAAACCATGTGATATTATTTGAAAATATGGCAATGAAACTAAAATCCCATTAAAATTACCCTATTGCCAGTTAGAGTGCCAAATCACTAATCCTATATAAAGATCTATGCTTGATAACCAAAGGAGAACTGTGGATGAGGACATCCTTATCTCCCATGGAAAAGAATTCCATAGACTGTAAGTAATCACTTAAAATGTTCTCTCTTGAATCTACACCAACCTGTGGGGATGGTGTGGATGGATTTCAATATCTGGGCAGACACATATAGGGAGACATTTTGGGCTGAAGGCATGTAGGGCTTTACAGATTAGTATTAGCATGTTGAATTTTGCTTTGAAACAAACTAGTAGGCAATGGAGCTGTTACAACAAAGGAGTTATATGTCCTCCGTAACATTTGCCACTTGAATTGAAAGTATGACTCTATATACACTAGAGGTGTGTGTGGGTGATATGGGGGCCCCTCCCCTGGAATGAAAATAAGTTTGGAATGAAAGAAAGTAGGAGAAAGTACTGCTTCCTTGCTTGCTATTTGGGCCACATGATGCTCCTCGCGTGGCCCATGGAGATTTCCCTCTGAGCCCTCGACTTTGCCTACTGCCTGCCTCTCCTCACCCACCACAGCTCATCTCCTCTGCAGACTGAGGGGAAAGCAGCACAGAAATAGTAGTATAGTAGTATCTTAAGCCCTGTCTTTAAAACCACTTCTCTTCTGCGGACCAAGGGGAAAGCATCACAGGAGGAGTGGTATCTTAAGTAACTTTGATGCTTTTAATCCATGTCATAATGAAAGATATAAGGGCAACCATGCCATTGCCACCAGTTAAAGAAGAAGTGAAATAGTGGGGCTGGGCATTGGGCTGTGTGTATGATGTGAGGAGCATCTTTGACATTTGGCAGGAAGGAATGGTGCCCTGCCCTCCCTCCCTCCTGCTGCTGCTCCTGGAGAAGTTAGAGGGCGAGTATGGCAAGGGAAAGAGGTATTGTTTTTAGGGAGATTTTATTTATAGAAAGAAAAAATTCCTAAAAATTTAG